CCATAATTTAATTTATTAACATTTTTAGAAAATCATCCCTCGGTATTACTTGCTCTATATTGTTCCGGCTGTCTCGAATAATCGGTCTTAGATTATATCGTAATCGCTTGACACATTTTTTTCTTTCAATGTTAGGCTAGTAAATAAATTTTGAAAGATGTAAAAAGAAGTGAGAAAATGTATACATTCAGACTATAAAAGGAGGATAACCAGGGGTCTAAATCCTCATTAACGCAGTTTAGAAGAAGAGAATAACTTTGAAACAATCTTGACATATAAGATAACTTTTCAGCCTTTTAGAAAATTTACTTAGAAAAACGTGGGACGATTCGCAAAGAATGCACAAGCCTCTCTTGTTGTTGCTATTGCTGTTGGTGCACTATTAGTCAGAAAAATCACCTGAAACAGGACTTTCCTAAGATAAAGCATTTAGTGGTGCACTGGCATGCGGTGCTATAGACTGATGTTGCAGAGATAGGTTTGGCCGCAGCTACAGTGCCGCGGTAATGATTGCTAAGGCTGTAACTGCAAATTTATTTAAATAGAAAACGCTGAAGAAACATGTACAGTAATTGGGTAGAAAGAGAGGTTGTGGTTTAGTGTGCAACTGTGTTGTTATAAGGCAGTGAAGTTAGAGGTTTGGTGTTCACTGCTGCCAGCAAAAAATTTGGTATTTTGATAGGCTAGGAGTGGGTTATATAGATGCATGTGGGATGGATGATTTCTGGGGCATTAAGAGGGGTAGGTTAATCGTTAGTCGCAGTAGGGATGTTCTGTTGGAATTGGTGATGGTAGCTGTTATTATGCAAGCTGTAACTAACACACGTTGTATTTTCATGTAAGTGGTGCTCTGATGCCAAGGCCGTAGTTCACGTGTACACTAAAACACTAAAATAAGGATTAAAGGAAACCTATGTAGACTGGGATGCCTCAGCGTATATACCGTGTTGGGTATGTAGGTTGAGGTATGAGGCTGGTGGTGGCATTTGCACTTTGTAGGAGGAAGAATGGCGAGCGGGCAGGTAAGGTGCCAGCCACCTCTTACCTGGGACACCTGCAAAGGTATCGATGACCTGCTCTGCTGCCGCTGCTGCTGCCTGCGGTGTCGCACTAACTCGTGGTTAGCGTGGTGAGTTGCCAAGGCAACCTTGATTGTGTACATCTAGCTTAACTAGCTTAGTGTAAATAGTCGAATCATAGCTCCTGACCCCATTTGAATATACATAGGTAGATAAAGGAATTTATTAGGACATTTATATACGGGTTTGTTTGTTCTAGGAAAAAGTGTTCTGTTATCGTTGCGTTGATTTGTGGATTTGTAAGAGATTATCTTTTGGTTATAGTGAGTGTAAATTATAATGGTGTGTGCACGTGTTTGTAGAATTTGAGGCGTTCATGACGTGTGCAGCAAGCTAGGGAGCGGGGTTGGCGGCCACGGGATCTGGCGCCGAGACGGTTTGTGTGATCAGTTTTTTTTTTTTTGTTTTAGATGCCGGGCATTTTATGTGAGCCAGGAGAACTTCATTGTGGTTGCTGGCTGTGGACACTTTGTGAGGTGTTGTGACCGTTGGCTGTGAGGCCAGAGACAGTACTCGCAGGGTGCGGAATTAATGGCGCGTCCGCTACACTTTGTTTTAAATGCCATGCTGCCGGTGCCTCTCGCGGCGACTAGGCTGGCTGTAGTAGTGATACCCGCCAGACCATCAGCATGCTAATTCTGAACGAAATCCATATAATTGATGTGAGGATAAACGTTAAAGCCATGGCCTGGGACACAAACTGCAACAATCTGGTTGACGGAACGAAAGTGGGAAAACTCGAGAGATAGCATTTGTAATATTTTCATAGTTGAACATGGAGGGAGTGTGACTATAGTTCAGAAGACCTTCGTCAGTGTGTGTGACGTATGGCCGTAGGTTGTTTCAGATAGTTTAGTGTAGATATCTTAGTGCTCTAAATTATGCATTGGAATAACGTATTAATTATTAAGTCAGCGACACTAAAATGTGTTGGTTCATAAATGGTTTCACTATCAGCAGTATTTTTTTGCGAAGAGCGGGGGTGTGAGCAGGTGGGCGAGATGCCAGGCTGAGACACACCTGTTATACTAGGTGCTGGGGCGCCTTGACACAGGCCATTCAGCCTGCTCCTCATCCATATCTTACATCCTGGCCAGTGTCCTTGTAACTTGTGACGTTGCCATGTACACACACTACTAGTGTTGTGGCCCGCCGCTCCCAACCACCCCACATTGTTACGTGTTAAAGCCATCAACACATGATCCCCTCTGTGCGATCTTGCCTATTTACCTTCCTTAACACTGCTTCCTTCGGACCCCCCTTCCCCTCCCTTTTCTGTCTCGACTTTTTCATCGAGCGTCTTCTCCGCCCCGACACCACCTACCGTGTCATCACGTTAGCCTTGCCACGTCTTTCCCGTCCTTCCCTACCGCTTACTTCCCGATGTTGTTAATTAAAATTTCTGTCTGCAAGGGCTCACTCATTGTATCTTAAACCCCTCCTGCTCCACCTCTCCTTACCTA